TTTTAATATTCTTGACAAGGTGTCAATTTTTTTAATTGTAGAATATTTTTTTACAATTAAAATTTTTTTTTTCTTCTATATTTAAATGAATTCGGGCCTAGCGGGAAGATAATTTTTATTTCGGATCGGGCTTTTCGGGACAAATAAAAAAAAATTTGTTTGGGATCAGAATCAGACCAGGCCGGACAAATTTTGGGCTAAGCCGGTGTAGGATTGTGAAATCAATACCCATTGTAGTTTCAATACCGTATTGATATTATCATTGTAGATTCAAAACCGTATTGATATTTTTGTATTGTAGAATCAATACCGTATTGATTTTTAAGGAATGTTTTCATCGCTTCAAATATATCGGCGGCCATTAAAATTGTAAAATATCTATTCATTATATATTTTTCATCGTTTCAAATATATTGGCGGCCATTAAAATTTTAAAATATTTATTATTATATATTTATTCATCGCTTCAAATATATTGGGGGCCATTAAAATTTTAAAATAAATATTATTATATATTTATTCATCGCTTCAAGTATATTGGCGGCCATTAAAATTATAAAATATTTTTTATTATATATGTCGTAATTTTTAAAGGAATCATGACTATCCGGGATCTTCACGGGATTTAAAGGGATAACTAAATTAGGGTTGATAATACGGGATTATCACGTATTAATCGAGATAAAGAGGAATCTTATTTTAAAAGCGTTTTCCACGAGTTTCGTTGCGTTCTTAATTTTCAATTTTGTTTTTTTTGGCCTTATGATATAAGATATGTCTAGTATAGGGTATCATTCGATAGCTAATCAAAAGATTTATTCAACTGGAGGTCAATCACTGCCCCAGTGATAATACTGTATAGTTCTTTATCCTTTAAAAAATTGAAATTTTAAAGGGATCCCTTTAAATCCCGTGAAGATCCCCGATAATCATAATCCCTTTAAAAATTACGACATATATATTCTTCATCGCTTCAAATATATTGGCGGCCATTTTCGATTTGTAAAAATTTATTTAAAATAGATTTAAATGATTTTCTATTCTTTTATATAATTTTTTAAGAGTTTATTTATTTTACAATTCTTAATATCCTATATAAATTTTATTTGTTTAATATATACAAGTTTTCTTCCTACATCATATTATTGAAATCTCAAGACTTAAAATTTTAATAGACAAAAGTAAGCTAATCACAAACAAATAAGGGTTTCTATTACGTCAAAGGATCTCAATCACTCACTCTGATTAATCATTTCCTCTTGGCTTCTTAAAATCGTGATTTTATTTACTAGATGTATATATAATTATTGCAGAAAATTTTAAATAAATAAAATGTATACAAATTTTCTTCATACATTGTATTGTTGGAATCTCAAGCCTTAAAATTTTAATAGACAAAAGTAAGCAAATCACAAACAAATAAGGTTTTCTATTATGTCAAAGCATCTCAATCACTATCTATCACTCTGATTAATCATTTCCTCTTGGCCTCTTAAAATCGTCATTTTATTTATTAGATGTATATATAATTATATTTTTAGCTGATTAAAATTAACACTTATATTTATGGAATACAAAATTTTTTATACAAATATAAAATTAGGTTTAAAATCAAATCTTAATGTTTAAATTATTCTGTTAAACTGAAACAACTATTTTTGTTTGTATATATATTTTATTGAATAATATTAAAACTGGCTGATTTTTTAATACTATTTAAATAAAAAGGAGATACATAATTTTATTTCAAAAAACAAGAAAAATATTATAAAAAGAAAATATATCCCAAAAAAGGAAACATAATTTTCACAAAAAATTGAGGAGTGTATATTACACTATAATACGATTAAAATGATTTGAAGATGCATTTATCAAATATATATTTAAATTAAAATTTTTTATACAGTCCATTTTTGATAATGCAGAATATGTAATATATTTCATTTCCATTTTTACAATAAATAATAATTGGCATCTGGAAAAACGTAGCAGATGATACGATATCTAATTCATACACCCACGATCCAAGTTGATATTTTTTTGTATCAACCAAATGTTTTATTATGTTTTTCCCCATCAGTAAAAATATCATTACTTTCCAACAGCATCATATAAGAGATTATAGATCCCCTTATAATTGCATGGTGATCCTCGCTGCCTGTGATCTCCTTGCTCAAGCAGCGATTCGGACATTTTTCCACCCTTTCTATCCGCACGTCGTGAGTTCCACAGGACCTGTTGCCCGACTTCATAAGGGATTTTATCCTTTTGCCTTTTTTGATAATCCCTTTTTTATCTATCTTGGGCAACAAGTATATTTTCTTTTGCCCTTTTCCATACAACTGATAGGCTCATTATTCTTTCTAATAATTCACTCTCTTCAAAGTCATTCTCAATATTATTATTGATTTCCTTAACAATATCTGGCTCAATTTTCGAATTTCTGATGGCAGCTTTGCGTTCCAACCATACATCATATAAAATGGGGTGAATCCTGTAGATTTGCAGACACTGGTTTGCATTGCAAATAATACCCCTGGAAGAACCCTAGGCCATGGTGTTTGATCATCACTCAAAACCTTTAACATTAAGTTTTGAATAGTACGATTATTTCTTTCTGTCAACCCATTAGCTTGAGGATGATATGCACTACAAATGTGTTGCTCCGTCCCTGTCATTTTACGTAATCTCGTGGCCATTTCATTCACAAACTCTCTTGATCATTGATTTGTATCTATATTGTATAAAATCAAAAGTTTATAAATTATCATAAATGCACATTTTTTAACTGATGTATATTTATATAATTTGATTTACAGTGGCGCAGCCATGGCGGCATATTAGACTATAAATAAATTTGATTTCATAGGTTCTGCCTCAACCCATTTTGTGAAATTATCAGAGGCAACTGCAATACATGTGTAGCCTTCTTCTGAAGTGGGCAAGCTGCAAAGATCAATTCCTATTTGAGCCCATGGAAGAAGTGGTACATCTATTGGATTCAAAGTAGAAGAAATTTTTAAAAATCTTGTATTGGCCTTCTGACATCTATCACATGATTTTATAAAATCAATAGTGTCTTGAAATAATTTGGCCACCAATATCTATAAACACAAAATTAACAAATTAACACCATAATAAATACCTTTCAGAGAGTTTAAGTTGTTTTATTAATGCCTAGTTGGGCACCAATAGCTTTAGATTCTAGAGATATATCTGATCCTTGGTGAATAATAGATATTACCCTTTGTTTCTCTGCTTCATCCATTATTACTAAAGCTAATAAATAAATAGAAATTATTATTTTGTGATCACATTTACCTTCTCTATTCTTAATTTTTCTATAAAGAATATCTTCTTTAACAATAAAATTGTTTTTCTTACATCTAAAATTACTTTTTTTACCTGGATCATTTTTAAGGAGTAAAGGATATTTTCCTGTTACTAGATATTCTTTTATTGTTTGATATTTATCTGTTATTGCTTGATAAAATTTATAATTATAAATCTAAATGTACCAATTTGATTCATTAATAATTTTGTGAGCAGTAGAATATTTTCCTGTTATAAGTATTAGCAATAAATGATATTTTTGATATTTATCTGTTCCTGCTTGATAGAAAATTATAAATTTAAATGTACCAATTTGATCATTAAAAAATTGTGATATTTTAAAGCAGTAAAGGAAGGATATTTTCTGTCACTAAGTATTGGCAGCAAATGATATTTTTCTGTTACTTACATTCTCTTATTGTTTGATATTTAATTGTTATTGCTTGATATTATAAATATAAATTAAATGTACCAATTTGATTCATTAAAAATTAGGTGATATTTTAAAGCAAGTATTGGCAGCAATTGATATAAATATAATTATAAATTTAAATGTACCAATTTGATTCATTAAAAATTTTGTGATATTTTAAAGCAATAAAAAAGAATATTTTCCTGTTATAAGTATTAGCAATAAAGAATATTTTTGACATTTATCTGTACTTTCTTGATATAAAATTATAATTATAAATTTAAGTGTACCATCATTAAAAAATTTGTGATATTTTAAAGCAGTAAAGGAAAGATATTATCTGTCACTAAGTATTAGCAGCAAATGATATTTTTATATTACTTATATTCTCCTATTTTGATATTTAATTGTTATTGCTTGATATAATAAATATAATTATAAATTTAAATGTACCGATTTCATTCATAAATTTTAGAAAAGTTGTAGTTCGGTCATAAATTATCAATACCGTATTGAATTTAGATAATATTGATTTTACAATACTACACTGGGCTTAAATATTTAAGCCCGATGTAGACAACTAATTCAAATTAGCAAATAGGATTTATGAAATTAATCACATATTCAAATTACCAAATAGAATTTATGAAATCATAATCACATATTCAAATTACCCATCAACTATCAACTTTTACAACAAAGTTATTGTGCATATAGCAAATTTTCAGATTTTATATGCCATTACTTGGTTAGTTGAATTCTCTAATCGATTATTAAAACATGAGCTTGCATTAGTAAATAGATATTATGATAACTGGCATTTCATAACCAAAATTTAGATAAAAATAATAAGTTTAGATCAAGCACCCAGAACATAGGCTACTTTTTTTCAATCCCGTTACAAATTGAATTCCTTTTTTTATATTGGTTAAATTTATATTTAAAAAATGACTCAATAGAAACAGGGAGTTATATTTATTGGTTCTAAAATTTCTATAATCGCTTTCATTTTAATTCCAAAACATTGATTTTCTATTCATTTTATAAATGTTGCACATGTTATGAAATGACTGTCCATGTAAATGATAGAGTTTAATATTAAACAATCAATTTCCAATGCTACACCTGCTCAGGTTTCTGATTTAATTAATTTTTTTAGTCCAGTCCGTGTTTAAAAAATATCATTTTCACTTTTAAACATTGAATTATATATTCTTATTTTTTAAATTTAATATTTATTTTTATTATTTTATAGATACCAAATTTTTGTGGATTTTTGATCAGTATGTTTCAATTATACTTGTTTTATCATTTTAAAGAACTTCCAAAAAGCAAAAATATTGAATATAACATCTTATAGATTATCAATTTCAAAATGTTTTATATAAAATCTTTCATATTAGATTTTTCAAATATCTAATAATTATCTAAATTTACATATTTTTAATATATTATGGTGTTCATTAAATTTGTTATTATACTATATATATATGCATTTATAAGTAAATATATGGAATCATTTATTAATTGAATGTTTTACCAAGGAAAAGGTATAAAATATAATTTTCTTTTTATATATTTAAATTATTTGGTTGATTTAATTTTAAGCTAAATAAATTACATATATTGTTAGGATGTAGGGTGTATTTAAATCATGGTTTTTATTTTAAAAAATTCAAAAGATCTCTTCTTTTTTTAAATTTAAATCATATTTTTTTTAAATGTTGGATATGAGCTAAGCTTTAAACTAGGGATCTATGAAGAATTGTTTTTATACTATTATCTTATAATTTTATATCTTTATATGCAAATGCAATAAAAAGTAAATAATAAATATTTTAATATAAGAAAATCAAATTTACAGTTTGAAAGGATAGGTCTCATTTTTAAATACAAAGAAATTTATTGCACTGTTACAAGCTTAGTTACGGATTATAGGTAAATTTATTTATTTAGTTTTACTTTTATAGGGACATCATGTAGATAGTGATATATCGGTATGGTGAGGGTACATATTTTTACAATGATGCCGTGACTGAAGCATATGAGGAAAAGATAGTATTGGTTAGTGTTGTTAAATTGTCGAGTTCATTCGATTCAGCGTCGGTAGTCGATTTAGCCGACTCGAGCTATAAACTAAAGGACAATATTTCATAATTACCTTGAAAAATAATTTTTGTTTTTTAGAAATTAAATTAAGAATCTGGGAAGACTCTTTTTAGATAGGAACTCGCATTTTTCTTATGTGATAAAATTTTGAAAACGTTATATTAAAATCTAACAATATATAATTTAATTATATATTTTGTATACAAATTATTAAATTCTAACAATCATTATTTTAATTATATATTTTTTTTCCTGTATAGCTTTATTAATATATTAATCATTGAGTTCATTAGCTTAACCTATTGGCGAAATTGATATCTTGGTTAGTGTTGTTAAACGGCTGAGCCAAGCCGGCTTAGCCGAACTAGCCAGTTTTTAAGCTAAAAATTCCGCTCAGGCTCAAGCCGATTTTTGAGGCGAAATTTATTTATTTGAGATTAGTGTGTTAAACGGCTGAGCCAAGTCGGCTTAGCCCTAAACTCATCTAGTTTTTGAGTCGAAAATTGAATCAGACTTTAGCCGGCTCATTGAGCCATATTAGTAGGCTGGCTCAAGCCATTTATTTATTTGAGATTAGCTTTGTTAATAGTGTTGTTAAACGCCTAAGCTAAGCCGGCTTATCCCTAAACTCATCTAGTTTTTAAGTCGAAAATTGACTGGCTCAATCCGGCTCATTGAGCCATATTAGTCGGCTCAAGCCAGCTAAGGAGTTGGCTCATGCCGACTTTTGAGCCGAAATTTGATTATTTGTGATTAGTGTTATTAAACGGCTGAGCCAAGCCAGCTTAGCCCTAAATTGAATCGAAAATTGACTCAGGTTCAAGTCAGCTCATAGAAATATATGTTGGCAGGCTAACAGTTGGCTCAAGCCGGCTCAAGATGAGTTCAATTTTGAGGCGAGATTTATTTATGTGATTGAGACATTTAAGAAAATTATTTAGAATTTGTGTTCTATCGCCATGTTTTGATAGGAAAAAATGTATTTAAAATCAAGCTAGCGTGATGGGCAACATAAATGGGCTAGCTGAAGGTGTTTCAGAACTTTGAGGTCGCTAACCTGTTTATTCATAAATACATTAAAAAACTATACTCTACCTAGTCTGATTTTTAAATGATTCTTTTGTAATATTTTTTGAATTTGTTTTTTTTATCGTCAAATTTAATTTTTTTAAATTATTATTTTATATTAATCATTTCTGTAAGACAAATAAAAAAAAGTTAATGTTACAAAAAATAAAAATAATGAAGGGTGGATAAAATTTATTTACAAATATTAACTGATTGATTCATTTTTTATTTATTATTATATTGAATTTGTTTAATGTAATTTTTTAAATTATTTATGCTTATACCTAGTGTAGTTAATTAGTCAAGTCCTTTCGACTACGACTAAAATCGACTAAAAACTTTAGCGACTAAATTAGTCTATAAGTCGACTAATTTGGTCGCCTAATTTAGTCGACTAAAACGACTAATTTAGTTGACTAAAACGACTTATTTAGTCGACTAAAACTAGTGTTGCGTAATCGGCTAAAAACTACGCCTAAGCCTAATAAGGCTAAGCCTAAAAATCGGCTAAGCTTAATTAGGTAAGCCTAAAAATCGGCTAAAACTAAAAATCGGCTAAGCCTATATAAATCTGCTAAAAATTAGTCAAAATTCTGCATCGATGCTTAGTATTAATTATTATTTATTTATTTTAGTAAAATAATTTATTTTATTTATATTTAATGTAAATATTTTATTATTATCAACAAATAAACATGATATGATTTAATATTTTTTATTTATATTATTATATTTTCAAATGAAAATAAATTTATGTATTTGATGTTATTTTAATAAAAAAAATAATATGCTGCTATATTGTAAAATTGTAATATTCTTTTTAATATAATTTATTAGTGATTTTCACAATCTTCTTTATAAATACATCTTTTATTGAGGAATTATATTGTAAATTTTATTAGATAAATAAACAATCTTTTAGGTGAAATCTTTTAAAATTTTTTTATCATTTTTTTTAAATTATCTTTTTTATTAAATGAGGTGGATTTTATGAAACTTATTTGATGATTTTATATGATCTTTTTAAGGATAATATTTTAATGTGACAATTGTCATAATCGTTATTTTATAAGTTTTTTGAATTTTTTTGAAGAAAATAGGTTAAAATAAGTATTAATAACATGTGTAAATATAAATTTAGTGAAGATGTACCAAAGATAAGTGACAATTGTCATAATCGTTATTTTTAAAGTTTTTTGAATTTTTTTGACGACAATATGTTAAAATAAGTATTAATAACATGTTTAAATAAAAATTTAGTGAAGATGTACCATAGAAAATTGACAATTGTCATAATCGTTATTTTTAAAGTTTTTTGAATTTTTTTGAAGAAAATATGTTAAAATAAGTATTAAAAACATGTTTAAATAAAAATTTAGTGAAGATGTACCATAGAAAAGTGACAATTGTCATAATCGTTATTTTATACGTTTTTTGAATTTTTTTAAAGAAAATAGGTTAAAATAAGTATTAATAACATGTGTAAATATAAATTTAGTGAAGATGTACCAATGAAAAGTGACATTTGTCATAATCGGTATTTTATAAGTTTTTTGAATTTTTTTGAAGAAAATAGGTTAAAATAAGTATTAATAACATGTGTAAATATAAATTTAGTGAAGATGTACCAATGAAAAGTGACAATTATCATAATCGTTATTTTATAAGTTTTTGGAATTTTTTTGAAGAAAATATGTTAAAATAAGTATTAAAAACATGTTTAAATAAAAATTTAGTGAAGATGTACCATAGAAAAGTGACAATTGTCATAATCGTTATTTTATAAGTTTTTTGAATTTTTTTGAAGAAAATATGTTAAAATAAGTATTGATAACATGTTTAAATAAAATTTAGTGAAGATGTACCATAGAAAATTGACATTGTCATAATGGTTATTTTTAAAGTTTTTTGATTTTTTTTGACGAAAATATGTTAAAATAAGTATTAATAACATGTGTAAATATAAATTTAGTGAAGACAATGAAAAGTGACAATTGTCATATTCGTTATTTTTTTAATTTTTTTGACGAAAATATGTTAAAATAAGTATTAATAACATGTGTAAATATAAATTTAGTGAAGATGTACCAATGAAAAGTGACAATTGTCATAATCGTTATTCTTAAAGTTTTTTGAATTTTTTTGACGAAAATATTTTAAAATATGTATATATAACATGTTTAAATAAAAATTTAATGAAGATGTACTCTAGATAAGCGACAATTGTCATAATCATTGTTTTTCAAGTTTTTTGATTTTTGTTGACGAAAATATGTTAAAATGAGTAATAATAACATGTTTAAATTAGTGAAGATGTACTATAGAAAAGTGACAATTGTCATAATCGTTATTTTTAAAATTTCTTTGATGTAAATGGTAAAAATATAGATTGTAAAATTAAAATTTCCTGAGTATATGCCATAGAAAAACATATGGTAATAATAGATTCTTCCCCAAAAACAGGAGCAAATTGGCATTTTATTACATTTGTTCATCGGGTCAGAAATTAATATGCAAAATTTATATCATAATATCTAATCCTAAGTTAGAAATTATTATTTTTTTACCAATTTTCACCAGACAATCTTGTTTAAAATTTGGGTAAACTTTTTTTTCTATTTTAAAATCAATATCGATGCAAGTTAACTATTTTCGTCAAAAAAAATCAAAAAACTTTAAAAATAACGATTATGACAATTGTCGCTTATCTAGAGTACATCTTCACTAAATTTTTATTTAAACATGTTATCAATACTTATTTTAAAATATCTTTGTCAATAAAATTCAATAAACTTTAAAAATAACGATTATGACAATTGTCACTTTTCATTGGTACATCTTCACTAAATTTATATTTACACATGTTATTAATACTTATTTTAACATATTTTCGTCAAAAAAATTAAAAATAACGATTATGACAATTGTCACTTTTCTATGGCACATCTTCACTAAATTTTAATTTAAACATGTTTTTAATATTTATTTTAACATATTTTCTTCAAAAAAATTCAAAAAACTTTAAAAATAACAATTATGACAAATGTCACTTTTCATTGGTACTTCTTCACTAAATTTATATTTACACATGTTATTAATACTTATTTTAACATATTTTCTTCAAAAAAATTCAAAAAACTTTAAAATTAACGATTATGAGAAATGTCACTTTTCATTGGTACA